TATCAGGGAGATAAGATGTTTTTGATGGTAGTTTTGAAGGTGATGAATGTGCATTTTTAAAGAATTTTCAGGTAGGGTTTTTCCAGATTTTAGGGCCTTTGACATAATTTTAATTTTTGTAAAGGTTTAGTCGGACACAGGGAATGTCATAGAGATGTTTTGTGTCTGGTATTGTGCCCGTGGGTTCTGTCGCAACTATCAAGAAAGCGTTTTGGTCAAGGTTAATAAATTTGGGAAATTTTAAAGGTCCTGTTTGATGTAGATTGCACAGTAGTAAGTGTGGATGTACTGAACAGGGAGTAAGTTTAGATCTATGAAGAGTGGGGGGGGGGGGTTTTCCAGGGATGGGATTTAGTGATTATTCTTACTGCGGCTTTTTGTTGGGTTTTATTGGCTTTAGGTGTGTTGCTGCAGTTGAACCCCAAACACATATAGCAATAGGTGAGGTATGGATATATAAGTGAATGGTATAGTGTGAGAAGGGCATTTTGCGGCACGTAGTATCGTATCTTGGAGAGGATCCCAAAACCCTTTTGGTACTTTTTGGGTTGTGTTGGATATGGGTGCTGAAGTTCAGGTTGTTGTCGAAGTATAGGCCTAGGAATTTGCCCTCATTATGCCTGGCAATTAGAGTGTTTTTCGATCTTAATGTTAATTTGCGCATCTCCTGCTCTGCTACCAAACATAATGTAGTAGGTTTTGTCAGTGTTAAGCGTAGTTTATGGCTGTCCCTCCAAGTCGTATTTGGTCAGCTCCTCATTAACAATGGTGTTGATGGTGGCAAGGTTCGGGTGAGAGATGACATAAGTCGTGTCGTCAGCAAAGAGAATGGGGTTCAGGTGTTGAGATACGTTTGGAAGATCATTGATGTATATGAGAAAGAGCAGGGGACCAAGGACACTTCCCTGCGGAACTCCAGTATCAAGTGGCTGTGTTAGGTTAGGTTAGGTAAAGATTAGCCGGTATTCTCCCGGCCCGGGCCTTTTCCAAGTGGTGGCCCGGCCTTGGCTCCCTCTTTAGGGAGTGTCTGAGACCTAAGTCTCCCATGGGAGGAGGCACAAGTACCTCCTCATCTTTGGGACCAACTGTCCCCAGGCCTAGCCACAAGCTAGGCCTCTCTGGTCTGCCATCCCCGCCCCAAGGGGGCAAATGGGAATGACAGTCTTATGAGCTAAAGGCTCGGACTCAGGCACCTACCCTACCCTAGAAGGGTTAGGCATGGTATCGATGAGTGGCTGTGTTGTTGATGCTGTGTCTTTAATGGTGACATACTGATACCTATTAGTAAGGTAAGATTTGAAATATGCAAGCGCATGGCCTCTTATACCATAATGGTCAAGTTTGTGGAGTAGGATGCCGTGGTCTACTGTGTCAAAAGCTTTTCTTAGGTCAATAAAAATTCCTAGTGGATATTCCTTATTTTCCAATGCTGTGTAAAGCAGATCTAGCATTTTTACGATTGCATCGTTAGTGCTTTATTTTTCCTGAATCCAAATTGGCAGGGGTTGAGAGTATGTTTTGTGCCGTTATAAATGAATATATGTAGTCTCCTGTGCACGAGTTTCTCAAAGATTTTGGATAGCAATGGTAAGTTTGATATTGGCCTATAGTTGTTTAAATCTGTAGGGTCACCACCTTTATGTATTGGTGTAACCCTTGCCGTCTTGAGTAGTTTCGGGAAGGTGCTAGTTTCTAGTGACTTGTTAAAAAGTAATGAGATAGCATGCGAGAGGACATGGCTGCTCTCTTGTACAATAATGGTGGGACATGAGACAGATTCCCTGAGTTATTTTTAGTGACTTTAATAATCTCGGTGACTCCATGGGCTCAGTTGGAGCAGATAGAAGGAATTTGGGAAATTCCCATCTAGGTAGTCCCCGGCATGGGCATTGGTGCGTGGGTATTTATTGGCGAGATTAGAACCTATGGTTGAGAAGAAGTCGTTTATCTTGTTTGCTGTGTCAGTGGGATGCAGTGGTGTTTCATTAGGTTTAGTTAGGGCAATATTCTTGTTTTTTTTTCAGTTTGTGGGTCCCTAGAATCTGAGAGAGTGTTTTCCAGTCTTTTTTATATCTCTTGTGTCAGTGAATCTACTGGTGTAGTATAGTTGTTTGGCTTTCTTTATTACTTAGATGAGGACTGATGAATAATGTTTAAGATATCTTTGTGTATTAAGCCCTGTCTATATTGCTTTCATATTGGTGTTTCTTATCAATGGATTTCAGAATGGTGCTGGTTAGCCATGGGCAACCAAGCCGTTTGTTTGTGATGTTTCGTTTTTATAGGACAATGTTGTTGTATAGTCTAAGTAATTTGTTAAGAAAAATGTCTGTCCAGTCATCAATACCATTGGCCTTGGAGAATTCTGTAGGCCAGTCAACAGTCTCTAGGTCAGCTGTGAACTTCCTTATTGAGGCCTCATCATGGAGTCTAAATGAAACTTTGTTGTATTCAAGTGGTGGTTTACTAATGTTTGTCAAGAGGAAGGTAGGGTAGTGGTCTGTAGTGCTATCTGTGATTATCCCTGATTTATGGGAGGCTAGTATATTGGTTCATATGTGGTCTATTATGGTTGCACTCGTTTCAGTGAACCTGGTTGGTTTAGTTATTGTTGGTATGAGAAGTGTGTTGTTCATATTGTTGATGAAATCAGTTACAGGCTGATCATCTAGTAGGCCAAGGTTAATGTTGAAGTCTCCAGCTAAGAGAAGGTGGTGCGTATTCATTTGTCTGTTTGTTATTAGTGCCTTTAGTTTCTCACTGAAATTTGGTATGTTTGTGTGAGGTATCCGGTAAATGGCACCGATTGTTATAGGCGTCTTAAGGTTTTTTACAGTAAAATTGGCAAAAATGTATTCTCCATATTCATCACTAAAGCAAGTGGTGCTAATACAAGATAATTGGTTAGAGTAATAGATTGCAATACAACCCCCAACTTGGTATGGTCTGCAGTTGTGGATTGCTGTGTATCCTGGTAGAGGGTAGATATCTATTATGTCCTGCTTAAGCCAGGTCTCAGTAAGAATAATGCAGAAAGGTGTCTTTAGTGATTCAAGGAGTGCCAGGAGGTCATCATAGTGTTTGCTTAAGGACCTGATGTTGTAGTTAAGTACTGATAGACTTTTAGCATTGTTTAGGATAGTGCTGGCTTGTGATGCTGTGTAGTAAAGGCAGTTACTTTCCAATAGGTTTTGATTGTGTGTCAGATTATGGAGGTTTAGATCAGGGTCAACGTGATCAATCATCTTCTAGGTTTAAATTATGGTTATTTATATCCTGAGTTGTGGGTTGAGTTTTAGTACTGATATCTGTAGTGGTGGGAAGTTTGGACAAGTATATAGCTATAGCATTTTGGCCATGTAGAGTATAGTCACTAATACACATAATGGAGTTGGTGTTGTCTATGTGTTGTGCTGGAATGAGCTAAAGTACAACTAGGTATAAACTAATAATATAAAAATACAAATTAAAAATAGCACAAGACTCTCACTTGTAATTGCACTAAGGTCTAATGTAATGACTTTGGTATAGTCTATGTATTGAGCTAGAATGAGCTATAGTACAACTAGGTTTAATCTAATAATACAAAAATACAAATTAAAAATAGCACCAGACTCTCACTAGTAATTACACTATGGTCTAATATAATGAATTTGGTATTGACTATGTATTGAGCTAGAATGAGCTATAGTACAACTGAGTTTAATCTAATGATATAAAAAGGCACAAGACTCTCAATTGTAATTGCACTAAGGTCTTATATAAGTTGTCTACAAGAATTAGAGTATAACTAGATTTAAATTGACAAGATAAAATATGCAAGTTAAGGTAGCAAAATAATAAAAAAAAAAAGTAGAAAAAAAATATATGAGGTAGTTGGTACTAGTTAGCAAAAGATAGTTAAGGGCCTTGAACAATAATATAATTGAAATATACACTAATTGCACACACAATATAGTCACTAAGATATGAAAACAATCTTAGAATAGGACTTATAATATAAACTTATAATATAAAAATACAAATTGAAATGGTACTTGCAATTGCACTAGGGTCTGGTATAGGTTGTTGACAAGATCAAGAGTATAACTAGATTTAAATTGACAAAATAAAATTCACAAATTAAAGTACCAAAAGAATAATAAGTAAAAAATAACAATGGCAATGTCTTGGTTATAATATGATAGTAAGATGGTAGACAGGTACACAGGTACACAGATACACAGATACACAGGTACACAGGTACACAGGTACAAAGGATAATATAAAGGTTGGAGTTGAATATATACAAACTTGAAATTTGGCAACAAAATGTTATGGAAGTATAAAATAATGATTAATGTACAAAAGTAAAATTGACTGGTAGTAAATATGGTGTTTAATAAAATTTTAGTAAGTAATAATGATTACAAAATAAGTGAAAAAGTAATGTTTATTTCTTTCAAAATTGCACTGGTAGTTACACTTGAGGTTATTTGGCAGTACAAGGTAATTAAGAGTACTCTAAGATAGTAAATGTGGTATTAAAACTGGTTAAGGTAATTAGACAAGTAATGGTTATTAAGTGATGTCAAAAATGTTAAGAGTAAATTGTATTGATAGTAAAAATGGTAATTATTAATTTTAGTAAGTAATATCAATTGATAGTATTTAAAAAAAATAGGTAGTAATATGGACAGAGAAAGTATCGATTCAGCTAATATTTAAGCAAACAATAGTAAATAAGAAAATTAGATAAGGTGACTTATGCTTACTAGTAAAATCACAAAATGAGGTAGTTGATTATTTAATTACTAATATCCGTAATTATACTCATAGGGAAATTAAATAAATTGATATTTCTTTCCAGATACTGCCAGAATGGAACCAATGGAAGGAAAAATGGTTGAAAAGGATCTGTCTTCTAGGTTTCTTACGGTTTTGGAGGAGAGAAATCAATTTCCAGTGCTGTAGGACCAAAGGTCTACGCGTTCAGCATACTGTATAATTTTGTGACACAGGCTGCAGAGAGGGCCATCACTGATGTCCTTAAAGTTCTGTATTCTCAGAAATACATGAAGACTAATGAAGGGAGCTTACCTGTCTATGACTACTGCATTTCCAAAATGCATTGGAATGATAATAGAATCAAGAAAAAGTTTGGAAATGAAAAATTTCTGAAATGTGATATTAGAAAAGAGAAAATGGTTGATGTGAATTTTGCATACAAAGTAATAGTAGAATTATGTGGCAATGCATCGACTGGTTGAGTCATGATTGCCCAAGGCTAATTAGGTAGTTAAGAATTACAAATACAAGATTTGCCGAAATACGGACTAAATGACAAAGGAACTTGCCCGTGGAGATGGACCCCATTTTTTAAGATTGTTAAAACTATCTATACAAATGTTGGCCAGGAATTCCCCAAAGATTTAAAGAAAATCTGGGAAAATATATCAAATATGATGGTATGTATCACTAAACCTTTGACATCAAACAAAATTTTTTCATAAATTTCTAGCAGATGTTGAAGTTCGAAGCTGATTACGGCACAAAACGAGCTGGCAGAACAATACCGAGAGCTTTAAGTGGCAAAACCCCTTTACTTGGATGAATGACGAGTGGTATGTAAGCTTTAAAAGTGGCGCAATGCCTAAAACAGTTTTAGAAGAGATTTACTCTCCCTTGAAAATTGGAGACACCAACACAAAAGTAAGAAAAGAGCACTTGCTGACAACTACCAAGAGAGTAGCGGGAGAAGAGGTCATAACTCCAGTTTTGCTGCTGAACGGTGTTACAGGTTCAGGAAAGACTGTTCTCTGTTATCATCTTGTACAGAATTGGTGTGATGGAGCTAGCAAAATTGATGAACTTAATAATTTTGATTTAGTGTTCCTTATCGAACACAGCAAAGTCAAGTCAGCTCTTTTTAAAAATGTAATGAGGGAGCAGATGTTGACCAAAACTTGCAGAGATTTTCAGATAGAAAATTTTTTTAAGTTTTTGAAAGGGCTTGATATACTTTTTATCATAGATGGGTATGATAAAAGTACGAAAGATAATTTTCCCATTGTAGATGAAATCTTTGAGCACTTGAGCGACAAACGCATCCTGATGACCACCCGACCCGACTGTCTTGCAAACACCACAGTACTTATGTTGAATAATCATGTTAATTTTCATATTGTTGAAGTATCAGAGCTGGATGACCCTTCACAAGCTAAAATTGTTGAAGATGTTCTCAAACATAAATTTAAAGATCCTGAAATAGTAGAAACAGCATTTAACGAATTTTCATATCATCATAAAGGCTTTGGAATGAACATTCTAGATCTCATTAGACTGCCACTTACTGCTTGTCTTTATGTGGTTCAGTGGAAATCAGAAGAGATGGATGTGAAATCTGCAACTAAATTCTATGATTCTTTATTCATCCTCAGTACTAAGAAGTTAATAAGTCGTAAGAGCTGGAACAGTGAAGATACTCTTGCAAAATTATTTAAAAAACTGCCTTGTATATTGGGAAAATTTGCCTGGAACCTGCTCAGGTCTAACAAACATATTCTAGAAGAAAATATGAAAATGGAAATTATGTATTTCTTCCAAGATCTCCATGTTGATCTCGTTGACGTGCTGTTGCCATATCTAACTTGCTATTTCAATCCTTACTCACAGCCTATTGAGATGGAATTTTCGTATATTAATAGTCCTCAGCAAGCATATTATGCTTCCAGATACTTGGTAAACTCCATAAAAGCTAAGAAAAGCACTGTCAGAGATATTCAAACTGAATTGGATAATTTCAAAAGCAATCCAGTAGTTCTTTTGTTTTTTATTGGACACTTGATTTCTCAAAATATGGATAATCTGATAGTGCAGGAAGTTTTGAGCATTATCCACAATGCCAGCGTGAAAGCAGAAAGTTACAGCTATTGGTGGAGCCTCTATGTTGAGAGTGAAGGTAATGAAACTGTAAGCATTTTCATTGCAGAAACATGTTTGCCTAAATTTCACTGGGTAGTAAATAGCAAGACTGTTGTTCCTGCTCTCAAGCTTCTTGCTTCTTGTCCAGTTCAGCTTGAGAGTTTAAAGATTGATATACCAAACTCAGTCGATCCTTTTGACATACCAGAATTCTTACCTCTTATGAAGTCCCTCCCTGACAAATTGCATACTCGATATGGTAAGAAAAATGCTATTGAAGTGGAGTTGCATTTTTGGCATCATGACGAAAAGGGAGGCTCTCAGCCATCGGATAAGTTCCTCCGCACCCTGTTTCCATGGGGAATTTTGGTGAACTTTACAGGTGAACTAGGATCACAAAAAGTAGGAAGTGGAATGCTCTTCAATCCAAGTGAACTGAGAACTATACGCGCTCGACTGAATACTCCAGGGGCCCTCCGATCCCTACAGGTCATTGTCAAACATCTGCCGCCACTCTGCAGGGTTGTCCGCATCACAATTGATATTCCAGAAGACTGTGATCCAGCTTCTTTTGAGCAACTTCATTGCCCAAATTTAGAACTTAATTTTCAAGAAATATCTCTTGAAAATAAAAACTGGATCATTAAGGCCATTAAAGCTATTGGCGGAAGGTAAGTAAAACTACTACAGTACTTAATAAATGAACATTAAAAACAATATAATAATTTGGCTAGTATGGCATGCAATATTTTATTGGTTTATCACAAATTAATATTAATCGTCATTTGAATATAAAATTGGGTGTGGCATAACATTTGAAAATATACATTTCAAAACATTTTGCACAAGATTTTTTTTGGAAGGAGGGGGGGGGCCTAGTGGGTTTGGTTATTTACTTTTTTTTTTTTTTTTTTTTTTTTGCATATTAAAATTGAAACAGGACTGAAGAAGAAAACAATGTGATGCATTGTAAACTTTACTGCACCCTAGAAGAATAAGACAAAGGGCTTGAACCCATTGTAAGCAGTCCTAAAACTTGCAGGCCAGTGCATTACCCACTGGACCATAACCGGACTAATAAGTTTCCCTAACTTGGTATATTTCTATACACCATATGAAAATTAGCATGGATCCCCCACTGTGACGACATTTTATAACGGCTTCTTTTGGAACTTTGGCTAAAACATGCCACAGCCAAACTACAGTGAGATTCGTCTGTAAACCCTGCATTGTCGTCACGGTGGGGCCCATGCCACCATAGAAAACATTGACGTTTGTAATAATAACAGGACGTGCTTACAGAAATGGCATCTGGAGGGCATGCTTTAACACCTGCACTATGGACGTGGAGTGCCAGGCAGCCCTCATAAAAGATCTTGCAGGACTCATAACGAATAAATTATCAATCCGCACCATCATGGATATGGATGAGTACAACAGAAAAAGCTGCAACAGCTTGCTACTTTTACTGTCAACTCTGATATAGGAAACCATCTTGTTTCATGACCCCCATTTTGGAAACTACATATTGTTTTATGATTTCCATTTTTTTTTCTCATTTTTTTTGTTATCAGTGTAATCACAAATAAATGACCAATCTTTATTATGGATACTGATAGACAGCAGAAAAAACTACAGCTTTATGCTTTTATTGTCAACTGGATATAGAAAACGACATCTTATGACTTCCATTTTCCCATTCAAATTTTTATCAGTGTTAAATATTAAATCATCATCATTATTCTCAGAGATCTCTTGATGCCCTATGTTTCTAATATATTTTTCTGTCAGTGTTTTGAGTTTACCTTATGTTTCTAGTGGACAAATTATATTTTTTCAGTGTTTGGAGTTTTTTTTTTTTAATTTGAGGACAGTAGCATTCACTTAATATGCCAAAGTATGTTATTAATAGAATTATTATAACTATATATTTTTTTAATTATATTATACACCATTGACTAAAAATGCTATATCTACCTATATATAAATGTTTTTGTATTAAATGGGAATACTTTTTGGCAAATTCAGCATCTGATTAAAGTAATTTTCTGTTTAGGTGCTACAATTACCATTATATGCTTGATATATTCCACATTTACCGTAGCATTTTCTATACTATTTACCACTTGGAGCAATGCTTTTGACGGACATAACTGTTACAAGTGTTGATTTGAAAATGTGTTTTGGTTTGTGCAAGACAGGTTTCTTAGTTAATACTTTGTATAGCTGAATATTTTAAACATTTATGATGTATTTCTGTTAAGCAGCATAATTCTAAAGCTAATAAAATAAAGTTGAAGACTTCTTTTGTATTTGGTGGAAAAGTATTAAAACTGGATCATATATATTTAGTGTGTTCATACCTTTTCCATCGAGACCCTATGAAAATCAAACATTAGTATGATCCATTTCTATTTTGATTGTCTACGGTTGAGTGAGGAAGCCATTTATTTTGAAAACTTTCATGGAGGTAAAAATACCACTCACTATCAGATATTGAATCTTAATCTTTCCTCTTGATTATTATGTTAAAAAATGTGCAAAACCCTTGTTTTTTACTCTGAAGTAAGGATAATGGGGTGAAACAAACTTAATTTTCTCGATAAATTTAACAATTCCAGTAGATATTTGTTAAGGATGAAAACGGGTTCATTTGCTTTTTAGGTATCTATCATACCCTTTAAGGAAGCTCCTTGATGCTTGTGAGGGACTCTTGATCTTAGGAGTCGGACCTTTGCTCAAATTAGTTGAATCGACTCTGAATGTCTTCTGTTTCCTTAGGAGCTGTGTGACCTACGGGTTGAGCGCTCCCTATTCATAATATGAGAAGGCTTCATCCGATCAATCAATAAATTTATTCTCTATAAGGATTACAATGGGGGGTGGAAAATTAGGGTAAAGAACAATTATTAGCATTCCCTATGATCAAACTTATATAGCCCATCCACGCTTGGAATGGTTCATAATTTCAAAGCCTATTCGGGTCTCCCCTTTCCTTTAATTTCCCTCTTCTGTGTCGAGACCCCCACTCTTTCCCTTTGTCCCAGTTAGAAAGTTGCACCCCCCTGTCCTCTACTTTCTTGTGCCACCCTATCTGCTGCCCCCTTGTCTTTTGAAAATCAACCTTTTTTTTTTTTTTTTTTTTAACACTTTGGGCCCTTTCCCCCCGAGGCAGGGTGACACGGAAAAGAAAAAATTTTCTTCTCATTCACTCCATCACTTCCCAAGGGGCCCAACACACAGTTCAAAAAAACATATCCCCAACCCCCCGTCGGGGCGCAGGCACGGTATTTGCACCCCCAGGACCAGCCGGTAACCGGTTTCCCCGAATCCCCTTCCCGTTTTCCTTGCAAACACTTCCCCAGCACGTAAATCATAAAAACCATTTAAACTCCATTTCTATCTAAATGCTTTCGGCGCTTGTGGGAATCGAAGCTCCTCACAGCAAAAACCCTTTACCCCCTCCCCCCAACCATTCCTAGGACACCTCTGCCTCACCTTTCCAAAAGAGATTTATACGCCCCCAAGTCTTCGTGTTGTTCATCCTCTCTAAAAGTACGAATTACCTCAACAACCCCCCCTCTACCCTCTGGATAAATAATTCTGAAATTCCCCACCAAATCCCAAGCTGGGATTCTCACATAATTAAAAACCCCAATTGTCCTCTTTAACACATTTCCATGCCTCCGCCTTCCTTGTTGCAATATTCACCACCCAAAGTTTCACACCTATATAAAAGCGTTGGTACCCACTAATACTCTATATTTTTCCTTCTTTGCTTCCCCGGGTTAGGTCCTTTCCCCTTTACAGACTTTCCTCTGTCCCCCTCACCTTTTCTCCCCGTCAGTTCTTTGTTCGCCCCTTCTTTGTAAAACCCATCTGCGACAAGTCGCTCCAAATATTTAGGGTCCCCTAGCGTTTGCTACACACTCACTCACCACGAGGTCCGTGGTTCAGCCCCCCGGGTACAAGTGGAAACAAAAGGAGGGTTTTCCCCTTAAGCGCTGGTTTTTCTACCCAATAAAATGGGTCCCTGGGTGTTGTCATCCGGGTGGGTGATCCTGGGAAAAAAAATTTTGACCAAATTTTTGGGGAAAAGGGTTTTTAAATGGGTACAGGAATTTTCCCGGGGCGGCTAACGGAGAAAAAAAACACCTAAATTTACTGGGACCCGTTTTGGGGTTTCCCAAAACCCTTTTTTTCCCCGGGAAACGCGGGAGGGAGAGATAAAATGATTATTACCCCGGGAAAAATCCTGAGGGAAAACCCGAATTTGCACCCCAAAAAATCACTCAATACAAAAGGGCAAAAGACTTGGCAGCCCGTGAAACCATCCCCCCAATGAAAATTTAGGGGGGGTCCCCTGGGCACGTTAAGGGGCCCAAAACAAAAAAGTGTCGGGGGCCCCCGAGACTTTTCACTGCCTCCCGGGCACAAAAAAGGGGGGATTACTAACAACCCCGGGCAGTCTTCAAGCGGGGCAGGAAAAGCACCTAAAGTTTCCTAAATCAGCCGGGCTGTGGCTCGTACGTTGGTTGCGTGCACCCGCAGCAACAGCCTGGTTGATCGGGCGCTGACCCACCAGGGGGCCGGGTACAAAACCGGGGCCCCCGGGGGGGGCGTTAAACCCCCGAAATCTTTCCAGGTAAACTCCAGGAAATTAAAAAGGGGGGTTTCTTTTAGAAAGTTTGTATTGTTTTTAGTAGGCCTGTGGGGCCTTGGGTACATGAAGAACTAAAAATTAGTTTTAAAATTATTTTAAAAAACCCCATTCACTTCCCCCATACCCCTCCCTCCAATCGGATATCAAATTTCTTTCTTTAAACCATTTTTTTTTTGTTATTTTTCACCCCTTGTTTCCTATGTTCACTTTAAATTTTCCTTTTTACACACCCCCCCAAAATTGTCCCCAACCTCTGCAAAAACCCAAGGTTATCACCCAAAAAGAAACTGGAAAACTACTATGTGTTGGAGTTAAAATTCCTTCTTTTACAACCCCAACAATAGGAAAATTTTGAACAACCTTGGGGGAACCCTGCATCCCTGTCTACAGCCCCTTTTTACCGGAATAATTCCCTCCCCCCACATACCCAAACCTGAGCCTCACTACCCCCATAAAAACTCTAATGCTTTCGAAACCCTAAAAACTTTTTCCATACATTTGCAACATCTGCATTTTTTCCCCGTCCCCCCTACCCAAATCCATAAATGAAATAAAACCATATGGGTTTAATTAAAAAGAAAAATAGCGAGGGACTTCCCACCCCCTTTCCCTTTACATTAGTTTATCTAAACCCTCCTACATCCACCCCCTTCCCTATATTCTACTACTACAGTTACCCACAAACCCCTTTTTTAGATTATTACTACTTCCACATACAATTTACTGATCTTTCCCCTCCCCGACATTTTATTTTGTATTATTGTCACTTAATGCATCCCGGGTCAAGCAGGAGAAACCGGGCCAGAACCCGTCCTGGCAAACCTACTGAATATCAACTCAAGGCAAATTTGCAGGGGAATATCGGAGAGGGGGTATCGGGAGAGCTACAAGTGTTTTTCTCATTTTTCCCACGCATGTTTTTTACAGAACCAAAAATTCGTTACACAATTGAGCTACTAATCGGCTATATTTTATGCATAAAATAGATCATTTCCAGCATGACTTACATAACAAAAATGCACTTCTTGTGCGCATGATGTTATTGTTCCGATTTTTTTGTTCTTACCCGCTTTTTTAAAGTACCCGAATCTGGACATATACATACTTTTTGTACCCATCCCCTTTTACGCCCCCTTTACCCTGACATTTAATTTTTGGGTTTTTTCTTACCTACTCCCCCCTTTATTTGGTGATTTTTAATGTTTACATTTATCTAGGGGGGTCGACTGATTCTCGTGGGGCCAGTTCGGGCTTTTCCACTTTTCCCTTTCCCTTTACGTGTCTTTTAAATCGGGGGTCCCTTATACTTTCCTTACCCGATCCATTATCAAGGGTTAGTTTGTCTCGGGACTTTTTTTACCCGCGAGAGCGTATATTGACGTAAACGTCTATCTTTTCAAAAAGACCTATGCCCATTGATTTGTTAAAAATGGATATTATAAAGCTAATTTGTTTAACTGATGCTTCATTTTTTATTTTTTTTTCCAATTCACTTGGCTTTCCTTAATTAACCCCCCCTCCCTTTTACGTTTTTCCCCGCATCTTACTTCTCTCCCCCCTAGGGAAATTCCGCAGTATACTTTGTTTCCCCCTTTTGGTCCCCCAAGGGAGGTTCCATGATCGGGAGGGGGTTCTTGATCAGGGAAATTTGGGTCTGTGCTCCAGTTCCCTGTATTGAGCCCCCGAAATTAAAACCCGCATTGATTTGATTTTAATGCCTCCATAACCCCCCCCCCAAAGCTGTATAATCTTTTGGTTTTAGCACTCCCCCTGATTATAATAAAAATAATTCTCCCCCCTTTTCAGTGCATAAGCTCTTTCCTCCAACAAATTTGCTACTTTCTTGAT